ATTTTGTGTATTTTAAGAGTAAAAGGTGGCAGGCCTGCCCGTGCCGAAGTACACATAGGAGGTCCGTATAGTGTGTTCTGAGCCAAATGTAAGAATGTGCATTGCGTCTGCTCAAGACATTCCAGGCGCGCTGTGGAAACAGCCGGAACCTGATATCAAAATGTGCCAGTCCACATCGAAGGAGTCGAGGGAAGAGGTGACGATGAAGTATAGTAAATTTAGGCGCATCAACATGAAGTACCCCATCTGTTCATTAGAATATGAAAAATCATGACATCATACCATGAAATTGCCTAGGTTTTACTAGATGTACATTTAAATGTCATTTAAACAGTTTCCTTCTCTGAGACAAATATTTCGCTAGACCCGAACCCCGATCATAGTCACACGCAAAGGGAGCGGAATGCAGAGCTTGTCATCTATTGAATTTCTCTACAACTCCCTCTAACGTCCGTATGAGGACCCCATGGAACCATACTCCTCCTTTTCCCATCCCACTGTCCTTATTTTCTCCCAAAGTAAATTTGACATCATCTGACCACATAACACGCTTTTGCCCCTTGTAGTAAACTCCACTCCTAATTCGTTTCAAATAAGCGAGATTTCTACAGCATTAGCACGCTGATAATTTACTCCGGGCGCCTAATTAAATCGTTTGCAGCACTTATGTATTGTCATCGCCATCATAAGCGAGATATGTTTGTGCTGTCTTCTCGCCGAACTCAGTGCTCGAAAGACAGTGATGGCCAAGTTTACTGTGATATGCCTGTGTCAGAAAGAAGTACACTATTTGGACAGAAGTGGAAACAAACATGCTGAGATGGCAAGGTAAAATATGGGTGAGATCGCAGTTGGTAGCCAGGAATGGCAGTGTACGTTGATATTGACGACGTACTTATTTGTTATCTGTAGGCGTGCTTATTTTGCCTGAGAAATTGATTATCAGTAGGTGTGCTTCTACTGCGTGAGGTAAGTCGGACATTTTTGGTATGGGTTTTGGATTTGGTGTGGCTTAAGGTTAGGCGTAGGTTGGGTTTTAGGATTAGGGGTTTGCTTTGCAAGGTGACGGTCTGGCTTTAGGGTTGGGGTTCGGCTTTAGGGTTAACGGTTTACGCTTAATGGCTAGGGTTAGGCTTAAGATTACCGTTACGGTTAGGGTTGCGTTTGGTTAGGGTCAACAGTTAACGATTACTGTTTACGGTTAGGATCAAGGTTATCGTTAAGGATAGGGTTAAGATTAAGTTTAGGGTTAGGGTTGAGGTTACCGTTAAGGTTTAATTTAGGGTTAAGCTTAGGGTCTCGGTTAGGTTTTACGTTAAGTTTAGGGTTAGGGTTAAGTTTAGGACAAAGGTTTCGGTTTGGGTTATGGTTAGGGTGTTAAGGCTAGGGTTAAGGTTAGGGTTCGTGTTAAGGTTTGGTTTAAGGTTAGTGTTAAGGTTATAGTTAATGTTAGGTTTTATGTTAATGCTAGGGTTGAGGTTAGGGTTAGGGTTAAGGTTTGGGTTAATGTTAAGGTAAGGGTTAAGGTTGAGGTTAGGGTTGAGGTTAGGGTTAAGGTTAGGGTTAGGCTTAGGCTTACGGTTAGGGTTAGGGTTAAGGTTAGGGTTAAGCTGAATTTTATGGTTAAGGTTAAGTTTAAGTTTTAAATTACGGATAGGGCTGAGGTTTACGTTACAAGTTTCCGCCGGGATTTATGTTTCTGCCCTGAACATTGCAGTTCGTCCTCACAGCGGCTTTTCGGTGTTTAGGTTTTCGATTGATGATTGTCAATCATGACGTTGCGTTCGGTTTTCCGTGACGCTGTGCAGATTGGTCTTCACATTCGCGGCTTAGTTTCTATTGGTTCCCTGGACTCCACGGTTTTTTTCAATTTCTGCCTTCCTTTACACCGCATTAAAACTTTCCCATATTTCTTCGGTTAGCTTAACTTTTCGTTCGAAATTACCGTACTTATATAATTGCCCTTCCATTTTCCCCACCCGTATAACCCCCCCCCCATTTTCCCACCATTCCCGTACGACAGGGATCCTCCCATCCGTCTACCCATTCCTGGCTACCAACTGTGATCCCACCAAAATATGTCCCCCCCGGACTGTGGTGCCAAGACAGTTCGATCACAACTGGTTGCGCTGTAGATGTTTTGGACCAAAACCAGGACCAGATTGCGGAATAGCACCCGTTATTCGGGCTGTGCATAGGCGACGCATCCCATAACTACTTCCGAACGCTCGGGATGTGATGAGGTGCCTAGGCGCAGGCCTCACGCCACATCAGCCAATCTGCCTAATCGCAGCCCTAGCCGGCTGACATGTTCGGACAGTCGACTGCTGCACGGGCGAGGGAAGAGAAGGAGACTTCGAGCCTGGAGAATCCATCCCCACGGATTTTCAATCCATTCCTCACTACAATGAATCCGACGCACTTCAATCTATCACAACGTGCTAAAGATCATACCTTAGATAACTCGGCCATCTCAGGACTGAAAATCAAGCTCACTGGCTCCGACTTAATATGACCTCTCCGGTGCCTACACTTGAATGGGATCCCAGTTGCCCCGTTTCAAGAAACCCTAGCATATTTTGTGGGAACTAAGTCGAGTGTGGCTCACGTATACGGGTTGTTTAGATTTGTCATCCGCCTGCGCCCGAGCCCGCCTCCGGTCGTCCTGACTCTCTCATTCCACGGGAGCCACGTGGGTGGTAGAGAGAGAACGGTAGATGCTTACCACAAACTACTTCGATAAGGATGCTCTATCCTGAAAAGGAATTCCCGCAGTAGTTGGAGTCTTCCGACATTCGTATATAGGCGGAACAAAGTCCGTTTCTCATGCGAAAACGCATTGTAAAATGCCCATTGCTGGTTGTGTTCTCCAGTACTTGAAAGCACTTTTCCATCGTCGTTAGATGAATCAAGTACCTGTTACGTGTGCTTTCTTACGGGTAACTGTGTGGCAATTTGGCCTTCTTTCTTTCATTGCATATGGTGTGGGAAATAGTGAGTACTTCCGTGTTGCCTAATCAAAAGTTCTGGTTCTTTTTTGACTTAACCGAATGGGTTCTTGCGTCTTCCAACTTTGAAGCCACTATCAAATACACAATGCTTTGATAGTCCTCACTGAGACAGCCATCGAGAAAACGGACAGTTCGACCATCATGACCGACTATGGCCACCACGTGCTCCACGGCAAGGTGAAGCAGGCGCCGTGACTTGTGTGCAACTTAGTTTATAGTGGTAGTAGACTTGCAAAGAACTACCACATTCCCTCCCCTATTTGTGCCCGAAGTCGAGACAGTCAAGAAGAACGGAGGTGAGGGTGGGCATAGGTGATGTCACGGCGAACGAACCTGCACCTAGGCATACCACCACACCACAGAGGCCATTTCATGAAGGAGCTGCATGAACTGAGTTGAGTCGTCAGTCTTCCAAGCCTTGGCGCTTGGCGCACCGTAATAGTCTCAGACTCGGATCACACATGCAGCAGAGAAATCACGCGGAGAAGAAGCCGAATGGCAAATTTCCTACTCATATGCGGAGTGTCAGTTGCGTGCTTGTGTTGTGTGATGATGAATGATGTTGATGTGTGTTGTAGATGCTGATGGCCAAAGGTGTAATGGTGTGGTATATCCGGCGGTGGTCTACCGCAGGTTTTCAAGAATGCACATGTGACCTAATAGGTCCGTGCGGTAGCTGGGTGTGCGAGGGCAGTTAGGCTAGTTGAAGCAGATGTGTCGAGTGTATGTTGGTGCTCCAGGCACTGGTTCACCAGTCTTCCTGAGATAGATTCGCAGGTGACTGACCAGCCTGATGCATGAGGTGAATGTGCGGAGACAATGTGGGCAGGATAGGTCGGGACCGTCAGAGTCGGTCTCAGTGACGATGATGCTGATCGGCGTGCTGGCCGATGAGGCGTTGATTGGGCCGGACATGGAGGTTGTGCAGGGTGTATTAGGTGCACTGATACTGCGATGAAATCGACTGTCGTGGATAGGCATGTGGCCGAGTAGACCCATGCGGTGCGTGGACAGTGTGAACAGTGAAGGCGGATGAGGAGGATGTGTCTGGGGACTCAAAGCATTGGTTCGCCAGCCTCTGTGTGATGTATTCGCAAGTGGCCAACCAGGCCTATGTGTGAGGCGAATGTGCGAGGGCAGTGAGGACAGGTTAGGACACAGTCCAAATCACCGGAGGTGGACGTGTGGGTGGTGATGGTAGCAGATGATGGGACGTCGGATGTCGTGCCATCGGTGGAGGGAGTGAGAGAGGTCGTGGTGTTGGCGAAGCTGGTTGCTGTGGTCAACGAAGGGGTCGGGACAGAGCGGATGGTGCTGGTGGCTGATGGAAGCGGGGCAGCTGCAGTGTGATCGTCGGCGAGGGGGAAGGTCGTCGTGGGGTTTACGCAGGGACAAGAGTGGGGGTGCTCGTGGGAGTAGAAGTTGGCAGCTGGGACATGTTCTAAGCGGCGAGTGGTTGGCACTGAGGAGGCCAGAAAATTTCGATTTTCGAGCCTTCTGTTTAGCTTTGTGCGGCGGTGAGCCAATTCGTTTCGGGAATGGCAGTGCCAATCTTTACTTCTCTTATTCAGGCTGGTCTGTCATGGGCGAGTTCCTTCCACGTCTCTGGTTTGATAGGAAATCCCTTCAGAGAATTCTTCAACGTGTCCTTGCAGCGTCGTTTTGGTCCTCCCGGTCGACGAGCACCGGTGGTGACATCACCATGGAAGAGTTGTTTCGGTAGTAATGTGTCTTCCATCCACACGAGATGACCGCTCCAGCGTGGTGGCAGTTGCCTTAGCGTGGCGTGTAAGCTGAGGATTTCGGTCCGTTCTGAGGATTCCGTGTCTGGCATCCTGTCCTACCATCTTAGCTTTAATATTCTGCGAAAGCAGCTGATTGGGAGTGGTTGAGCCTCCTTGCTTGGCTGAAGTAAACGGTCCAGGTCTCCGCATCGTACAGAAGTGACACCATGATGGCGATCTTGTACACTTTCAGTTTGGTATCCAGTTAAAGGCCACGACGATTCCGCACAGAGTTCTGTAGCCGGTCGAAGCTCTGGCTGGTTTTGAAGATATTGTGGGCCAATATGTCTATGATTCCAATGAAACGTGGCATTGTGCTGTCTAAGCAAGTGAAGCTGTCCACAGTCTTCAGTTCGGTGCCGTTGATGTAGATGCGAGAGACACTATATTCAACGTTCGGTGACTGTTGATGCAGGATCACCGTTTTGTCCATGTTGACTGTCCGGTCGAATTTGGCGTACCCGGTGGTAAAGAGGTCCACGCTCTGTTGTACGTTTTCTTCGGCCTTAGTGCTGAGTGCGCAGACGTTGGCGAAGAGCAGATCGTTGATAGTAGATGTGGAGAGATGCGTCGGGCCTGAATTAGCCATTAATACTGTTGGCGATGCAGATCGCGGAGAAAACTACTTATCGGCGGTATGAAGGTGATAACTACCGCGGAGATAATTGACGAGCCCAGTTGGTCCGCGCCGTGACTCTCCCCCTATCAAACGGTTTCGTCAAACCGCAAATTAGCGTGGCGGTTAACAGAGCAGTTGGTGGACATCGGGGTTTCTTGCACCTGCCTTGCTGTATGATCATCGCCTAATCCCACGATCTCAACGGTGTCAGCGAAGGCGAGGCGACACAGGTCACGGCGAAATGCTGGTCAGATGCAGCCACACGGGCGGCATTGGCGGGCCGCACATCACGCAAAGTGCACTGTATAATAGGAGCTGTGCATGTGACTTCCTAGTTGCTGAAGATTGGTAGGTGAAATAACTATTATAAACGTCAAATGAACCTCCCCCCAGTGAACACCTCTTCTTCTTTTGACGCAGACGCGAGTCTTTGTAATTTCTACTTGTGACTGAAAATCAAATAGGCTGATATAGAGTACATATGCAGTACAGTTTCGAGCATGGATCTCAAGGGAAGTGTAAATTCACTTAGCTCTTTCTGGCCTACTGGAGAACATCAATCAGCCATGGTTCTATTTCGGGACTCGCGACAACATTGACTTCTCACTCAGGAGGACATTCCTTGGTCCATTTGAGGAGAGGTCTGAGACTAGGACCTCAACCTAGCAATACGACCCTTAAGTTGATGGTCCGACAATCTCGTTACGCCAACGAATTCAATCAATGTGCCTATTCCTCTGCCACTATAAAAAATTCCGGAACTACATGGTTGGCTCCCCTGTTTGTGAAGACCCAGTGAATTAATAGGGTAGACATGGACTGTTGGCTACTCTCACCGGACTCAAGACGTGTCATAAAATCCCTGCCTGTCAGTGAACTTAGGACAGACATAGACGCATTTCTATTCGCACTTGCTATGCAATTTGTACTATACTGAGCATTGCGTGCTTTCTTCCAACAGCTGTGTTGAGTTTGCGCGGCTCTCCGTAGCAAAATTGTAAGATGTCAGAATGTTCTACTTGAGTAGTGGGCACTTCCTTTATAAGGGCGTAGATGTTTTCAATCGAATTTAGTTCACGACTGACAGCGGAAACAAAGAGGACTCCAAAGTCAATGCAGTAAGCTTAAATGTCCAAATTCTAAATTTAGACGTGGAGGCTGCCATATTCCTTCTATGGATATCTTGCAGATCATACTGCGGGAAGTTCGAGTCCATCGTGTGTCGCTGCAGGTCATAAAATTCAAAGGCATTCTTCACAGAATCGATGGATGTTTTGGTATCTTTTATTAAACGCCAGATGGGCCATTCTCCATATGTGATATGCCTTCCTATCACGGAATAGCGAACTCGTGACCGACTGATCGCCGGCGCTCATCTTTGTTAATGGAGTACTTGGCTTGAATTTAGGTTACGTACGTCACGTGTGAAACAATAGTCTTAGCATTCCTCGACCAGCGCCTCTTTATCCTGTAAGTCATCTTGATAACATTCGTACTTCTTCTATGATTCTACGTGTATCTTATTTTAAAGTTACCTGCCCGTTTATATTAGATAATCAACTCACCACTCAGTATTTATAAGACATCTATACCATTATCATGGTACTGCTACGGTCTAATTTCTATTTACCCATTCTTTCCGAGCGGATTTCTCTGCAACTCGGGAATGCGCCATCAGGGATTTAAACATACTTGACTTAACGTTATTGTGACCATTACTGACGCGCTTAACGTCCTCATGTCCTTACATCTTCAAGATAACCTCCAAATCTACCTTGACCTCTAACGCCTTATAGCCCGCGTTCCGTTTCGTTGCCGCCGTCTCCCCCCACAAATCCTATTCTGTAAGCCCAAAGTCTCCTCAACCCTCCTCTCCGTCAAGTAGTCCGGACCCCCTTGGTTTTGCCTGCCGCCACCCTTATCAGAATCCCGTTCTGGCCGCTGGGATTTCATGGCCTCGTCCTTTGCCGATTTCTTCCCAAGTCTCATACAACCTAACACCTTCGTGCGCAGTTACTTCGACATATTTGATTCGCTTGCAGCTCTGCTTCAACTGGAACCTATCAACGCCGTCCGGATTCACTCCTGATAAAGCAGCTCATACGACGGACTTCGAACGAATGAGCTGATGATTCGACCTCGACCAGCCGACTCTCCCCCATCTCCGTCTGAGCTTTCCCATCTTGCCGCACTTAATTTCCTATTCTCAAGATGAATTTGTCGTATTTTCTTTCTTACATATGTCGCAGCTCCTTGGGATGTTCGAGTTCTCCGACCTTTCCAATCAGGAGTCTTTTGGCTGTTCACTCAAAACTCGTAACTTTAAAACGCGGCCAATTTGAAATTCGATTGCTGTATACTAAAGTCGAAATATCCCGTCGACGCCGACGGTTATTTCCACTTTCCTATTATTACGGCTTTTACTATTTTGGCTGTCATTGTTAGTAGTTTTATTTACTCAATCTTCACATATTATTGTACTGCTATGAGTGCTGCAAATATTTTTGTCAACTAGATCAACACTTTGTTTGTATTGATAGTATTCTCTGGGCACTTTACCACCGAATAATTCTCATTTTTATTATAAGGATACAGTGGATGGAGTTAAACACGGACTATGCGTAAATTCACAAAAAGTTCTAGCCAATCGGAAAGCGTTTCAAATGCGTTGGCCAATACTCCTAATAAATTGTAGCAGGCACACTTGAACGGTTGTTTTAATAGACAAGGGCGCTAGTTTTGATAGCAAGGGTGCCTGGCGTCTGGACACTATCGGTCTGCTTTCCCTTGTTTTTCAGTTAAGGTGCGCGAGGAAGAAGACTCCCCCTCCCCGGTGGCAGCATCCAACTCCACCTTCCCTGGACAACTGTGAAACTAACGTTTGTTGGACTAGTAGATTCCCTCCTCTGTTTTGCCCTCGTTCTACGTTCTCCTTTTTTGCCCTTCCTCAATAAACCTTGGAGTACTACGCAGCTTATCGTGTGCTTGAGGATTGTTATTCGATAATGAACACTTGGAAGGACGATCCTAACGGTTCACAAATTGGACAGAGTGCCGCAGTTTCCGAAGTCCCGTCTCAAGCAACCCAAAAGGACACCAGTGAACCCTCGGCCACCGAACCCCTTTCAAGGTCGGACGCTACAAAATAATGAACCACTTTCAATTAAGACTGGGAGAAGGTTAGAAGTAATAGTCCTTTGGTTAGAAATAACAGTTTTCAAAAGAAGTTTGGAGATGCCAAAAGTTTAAATATCTACGTTAAATAAGTGAATTTTTAGGTAAATAAAAAGCTGTCCATGCAAACAAGTGACGACAACAGCATGAGCAAAGTAACACTTTAAAGTATTACCCAATTTTCGGGGTAAATATCCTTTAAGAATTATTGTGATACTCAGTACGCCAACTAGGCAATTGTTTGAGGCTCACTCGTGTGCTTAAAAATGATGTCCTTCCTTCGTTTTCGCAGTATTCGACATGCAGTGAACTATGACGTCTCAGGTGTAACAGCCCTCATAAGACCGCGTGTCGAGAGACCGATAAGTGATTAAATTGATAAAAATAATTAAAGGCAATCATATACACATTGTTTTCTGCGTATCAAGAGAAATTTACTGTCGTAAAACTCCTTCATGCTTTTGCAACGTTGAAGTCCGCTGAGTTTCCTGGTGATTTGACTTTTCAGTAACTGCTTTGTACACTTAAGCGTTCACAATTGACTGCCCAAAATGATATCATATGAACTTTGCGTTTAACGAAACCCTCAGAATAAGACAGTTGTCGAAAACCCTCCTCTACGTAATTGTTGCTCGGGCGTTCTTTTCTCTCAGATGACCGATTGAATTATATGTGTAGGCTCATTAAAACATTAATCCTGATCGCCGTAGAGAATAGCATCCCCGACAAACTTCGGCGACGGATGTGCTCTTGATCGGATGAAGGCCCTTCTCCACTAAGTTATACTTTTCGAAAAAAGTGCTTCGTTATGTCAAGCTCTTCTTCACAATTTAAAATCAGAAAAGGTAGAAAATAGTGCCCTCTCATGAACAAACCTGACAGCAATTGATAATTGTTTCACCGTGAACGACACAACTACCAGTTCTCTTCCTATTGGAGCCATTTGTGTCACTTCTACATACTTCCAGGTCTCATTCTACGCGTTGAAAAAGTAATCGTAGAAATGTCAAGGGTTTCTTAAAAAAGGTTGACACTATGTCCCTTCTACTTCTAAATTACCAATTAACAAAATGTAGACCACACAAAAAGGGAGTTAGTGCATGCTCACAAGTTAAAATAACGCTTTTATCATCGGGATTATCGGGATCGCTTTTGTGTGACGACCAATGATGACTCTGGTAAAAGGGATTCACAGAAGTCAATGCGTAATTCGCGCATTAAATAACAGAACGATAAGACCTTCGAAATAGTAAAAGCGTATACTAACAGATAGGAATAATAACTGAGTATCAGACATTGACGTGGGCGTAAAGGATTATGCCCATAATTAAAGATGAGGTCAATGTATGTGAGAAGGTAAACGCATCCGGCTGCAAAATAGAATAAATCATAAGATAAAATGATAGCAGTCGAGCTTCTCTCCGCCTGTTAGTCGGCTCAAGAACCTGGGAGTGGAGATTGTAAACAATGAATTGGGTTATTAAGGGCTTATGCCTATCTGAGAGAGGGTCTTTTGCCGGATAAATGGGACACTGGCGTATTCCTGGAATTTGCAGCTGTGTTAGAGCAAGACACTGCCCGCTGGCGTCATCGCGATCTTTTAGAGCACAAAATTATGTTGATATACAATGAGGTCTTTTTAAAAAAGAAAAAATTCCGCCTATTTAAAACTAATCCTGCTTGGTTACAGCTTGCTTAAATTGATATACGCTGTCTGCAAAGTACATTTTTAAGGTGGCGATAACTTTTTTTGTCAAACTTGATCGTTCGGATTTATGCCCCCTTCTAGACAAATA